ACAGCTTTGGCATCGTGCATCGGGACATCAAGCCCGCCCGCTAACATCCTACTTGACTCCAAGATGAATGTGAGCCGGCAGTGTTGGATGGGATGGGAGGCAGTTGAGGTGGATGGGAAGGGGTGAAGAGAGTTGGTTCTTCGGTGTATACAAGCACCTGCAGCGACCCACTCTCATATGAAAGACCAAGAACGTTCTCCCCTCTCCCCTCGACCCTCTTCCCCCTCCCCTCTCCCCTCACCCCGTTCCAGGCCAAGGTGGCTGATTTCGGGCTGGTGCGGCTGGGAGAAGGCACATCAGCTACCATGGCGTCTACCTGAGTGATGGGCACGGCAGGCTATGCAATGACCCCTTACCTGCTCCTTATTCCATGAACCTTCACTTAAACTCCAACCCGGAACATTCTCCCCTCTCCCTTCACCCCAATTCAGGCCAAGGTGGCTGATTTCGGGCTGGTGCGGCTGGGAGAAGGCACGTCAGCTACAATGGCGTCTACACGAGTGATGGGCACACCGGGCTATGTGGACCCTGCTTACTACAAGTCGCAGAAGGCCACCCCTGCCGCCGATGTTCACAGGTACAGAGCCGTGCATTGTCGCGCAGAGCGGTGCCAGCCGTTATTGGCCTATAAGTACGCTTGCAAGAGTGATGGCCACTCCGGGCTATGTGGACCCTGCTTACTACAAGTCGCAGAAGGCCACACTCCTGCTGCCGACGTGCACAGGTACAGACAGAGTGATGCAGGGAGGTGCAGAGCAGTGCCAACCGGCATTGGTTCACAAGTAGGTTCGCAAGACGGTTCAGTACGGTGCTTTGGTTTGGAGTTGCCCACAATAAATACCACTCACAGGCGAAGCACGGTGCTTCTCTTCTCTCCTCTCCGCTCCTCTCCAGTCCTCTCCTCTCCTCTCCTCTCTTCTCCGCTCACTTCCCTGCTTCCCCCCTCCCTCTGCCCGCCCCTGCCTGCGAGTGCAGCTTTGGCGTTGTCCTGCTAACAGTGATCACAGCTCGCCGGGCGATCTACGAAGTGGGGGACAAGCAGGTCAACATCAAGGACTGGGTAAGCTCTCTCTCTACCCTCCTAATGATTGGCTGGTTCTCTGTTTACCTGCCAACACACTGCCTTGTTCCTCCCTTCGAATCTACCAAGTGGGGGACAAGCAGGTCAACACCAAGGGCTGAGTAAGTCCTTCCTCTCCCCGCCTGCACTCTTCTGCTCGTTCTCGAATCTCTCTTCACCTGAAAGCACCCTACCTTGTTGGTCCCTTGTAATTTATGATGCCAGGGACAAGCAGGTCAACACCAAGGGCTGGGTGAGTCCTTCCTCTCCCCCTTCCCTTCTCCCTTATCGCCTACATTTGCCCTCCTGCGTCTCCTCTCCCTAGCAGTCAACTCCCTCCCTCCTTATGTCGCTACCTGCATTCTCCCATGGTGTGTCACACTGTGGCGGCCTTCCCGGACCCGCGCTTGAACGCACCCAACTCTGCTCTCCTACACATTCCCTCCCACCCTCACTTTAACTCTCTCCCTATCGCCTCCCCAGTCTCCTCCCCCATTCCAACAGGTGCTCCGCTTGTCGACGCAGTCTCCTCCCCCATTCCAACAGGTGCTCCGCTTGTCGACGCGTGCAAAGCCCAGGCCTTCCGGGACCCGCGCCTGGACCCACCCAGCCCTCACCGTCTCCCCCATTCACTAAGTCCCTCCCTTCTTTCTTCCTCCACCACCCATCACTCCGCCCCACTTCCAACAACAGGTCGCTCCGCTCGCCGACGCGTGCAACGCGCAGGCCTTTCGGGACACGCGCCTGGAAGCATCCCATCCCAACTTCACACTCTTTCTCCTGTTGTCCCTCACCCTCTTCCAACAGCAGGTCGCTCCGCTCGTCGACGCGTGCAACGCGCCGGCCTTCCGGGATCCGCGCCTGGAAGCGCCCGACGATCTCGTGCTGCGCCGCTGCGCCGTTCCCAATCTCCCTCCCTTCTCCTCTCTTTCCTCTTCCCACCCATCCTTCACCCTACCAACAGGTTGCTCCACTCGCCGACGCCTGCAACGCCCCAGCTTTTAGAGACCCGCGCCTGGAAGCGCCCGACGATCTCGTGCTGCGCCTCGCGCGCCTCGCCATCGACTGCACCAAGGTGCCCGTCGCGTCGCGGCCGTCCATGGCACGCGTTCTCGCGGAGCTCATGGATATGAAGGAGGCGTTCTTCGGGCCGGAAACGGACAAGGTGGTTTCGAGTATCGATAGGGAGATTGACGATTCGAATAGTCTGGGAAGCCTTACGATGGAGTTGAAAAAGGCGGAGCAGCTTGGAGCAGGCAGCGGGAGCGGAGGATTATAATGCTTTCTTTCAAATAATAAGTTATACGAGGTGTGGTTATGCAATGCGGCGCCCGTCGCGTCACGGCCGTCCGTGGCGCGCGTTCTCGCGGAGCTCATGGATTATGAAGGTGGCGTTCTTCGGGCCGGAGACCAACAAGGTGGTTTCGAGATAGGGAGATCGACGATTTGAACAGTCTGGGAAGTCTGATGAAGGAGTTGAAAAAGGCGGAGATGCTTGGAGTGGGCAGTGGGAGTGGAGGATTATAGTGTCTGAATATGTGCCCAATAAATTCGTTACACGAGATGTCTGTATAAAAGGGGTGCAGGCGAGCAAAGAAACCATTTGTCTTTGAAAACTGGTTGTCTTACATATATATAGAGAGATGGTACAAAATCCGACATAGAATTGAATGTATCATGGCCACGTTGAGAAACTACGGCGAGACTCAGGGCGCATTCCTGGTTCGTGGCAGGGCCACTGTAGCAGGCACTGTTGGTGGCATGCGGGAAAACCGCATGCCACCAACATTTTGCCCGAGTCGCGCGCGACACGATTTTGGTGGAATTGACATGACATTTTTGGGACATTGCCCAATCACGCACCTGTATTTGCGCGCCAAAATTCCTGACACCAACCTGGCGTTTTATGTGTTCGTGGCAGGCTGCCATATACAGTGGCCCTGCCACGAGCCAGGAATGCACCCTCAGTTGGATGGGGTCGTCACTAACATACAAAGGCCCTGTTCGATAGCGAGGGTGACCCATGCCAGAAAACATTGAGGTGACCTTGTTCCTTGGGCGGGAAACGGTTTGCGACCTCATGCGATGGTGCATAATTCCCGCCAGCGCGAACGACCCACCTGCGATCTCCACGGTTTCCCGCCCATCTGCTAAAAGTTGGCGGGAATCTTGACGAGGTACTTTGACACCACAGCGCGCAAGAACAGTAACTCCCGCCTAATGATTACAGCCCCTCCCTGGTAAAACACCAGACCATTGTCGGACCATTGCCAAAGTTGCTTTTCAACTAAATCGCTTCACTGCCAGACCAATGGGCTATTTAGGGGTAGTCTAATCTAGCGGTTTCCCTATCTCTAACTGCCCAAAAGTAGGGTAAAGAAAAACAGAGCATGCCCGGTCGAATCTGAGCCTTTTGACTCTTGAGACTTGCACATTTCGCAGCTTCGTACTACGTCGCGATTTGTGGAGTCCAGTGCCTTAGCGACATACAGCGAATTAGGAAGTGTGTTTCGCGAATTAGGGTTTCCTTGCAGAGATGTTCTACGTTTATGGTTTTTTTTTCCCCTACATCCAGCGGTATTTTGTTTTTCGGTTTTTTCCGCCTTCACCTGTCAACTTTGGGGGAACCCTCGTCCGCTTCAATGGGCCGTTAGGGTGGAGCTTTTCGACACCCTGCACGGTTGAGTTCGGTGAAACAAGTCGGCGTTGGGGCGGCCAAATAATAACACTGCCGGCCCAGAGGCCCCACTTGCACTTTGTCGCGACCCTCAACCATTTGGGCGACAGGGCCATTCCAAACGGTTGCATCCTGGAAGCCCCAAAAGCTATCGAACAGGGCCAAATTAAGCATTCTCAACCTGGAAATGGTACCAAAAAGAAGGACCTAGGTTTCTAACCACTCCTTATCCTTATGCTGAGGAGGACCTTGCGGGAGCATTCATGCCCCACCCCGCAAGTTGAGCTGCTTGCAACTTGCACTGTAAGTTAGGAATGACTACGAGATGCCAAACAGCAAAACGGGCAGGTGTCAGAACATTTCGAACGTCTCTACCGATTGGTACTCTGAGTGTTTCAAAGCATTGCTGCTGAGCCTTTGCCTTGTTGGCTCAAGGAGTATGGTTCTTGTAAATACACCCAATCACACAACAACGTAAGTATGCATTTCAACGACCTTCGCGTGGCACCTCAACCGAATCGAAAAATTCACTGCAGGATATTTTCGCACTACAGACAGTCAAGCCCATTGTTCAACACTGAGGACCATATGCGGCTCGTAAAGCTGCCCCCCCCCCCAGGTGATTTTTCTCGGTTCTTTTCCCAACTCGATCGACATGCGGCTCGTGAATGTGCCCCTTTAGGGCTCGACTCGACATTGGTAGAGAGAGAGCGAGAGCAGGACATGCGAGCAAGGCGGAGCATACACAGGCAGAGAGCATGCAAGCGCATAGGACGGATACTGAGGGTGGCCCTGCCCTGGACTCCAGCCAGAGTGTAATGCGCTACCAGTCAGGACTTGGAAAATTCCAACATGGCAGGGAGCTCTCACACCAATGCCATGGCATTTTCCCGCGCATATCAGTTGCTTCTTCCAACATGGAATGGCCCGTTTGCCATGCAGGACTCAGGTCCTTCTCTATTTGTCGTCCTTTCCGCGCCATGTTGCCTGCTGTCTGACCTTGGCCTTCGCTGTTCTGCCTCTGCACCTCAACTTTGTTTGGCAAACAGAATTCGTTTTGATGTTGGGGTCTCACGACGATTCACGGCTCACGTCACGACAGCCGCTCATACACCTTTTGGCCTAGAAAATTTATCCACAGAAAGTCCTTCCTCACTGCAGACAGAACTTTCAGCGGATTATAGTTACTAGACATTGTCATTACTCGCGAAGCAGCCTTATCAGACGATGAACGCCATGGATCACTACTCACAATGTCGCTCGATGCATCACGGCGAATCCGATTATCTGCTTCTGCAGGTCCCCATTCGCTGGACCCCGCCGCATTCGCCACGCGTCCTGAACGTGGCGATGCACGTTGGCGAAACTGGTAACCCGTCCGTAAAAAGCCGCGGATTCCCCGTCGCTTTGCACCTTCGTCCAGACGACGCATCTCAGCAGCCAACCGCCGGCAGCAGCTTCGGCAACGTTCCGTCGATTGTGTCCCCCCGGCACTGCCCTCTTCCGCCTCATCCCCCCCACTGGCAATCTTCCCCCGATGTTCCCCGCGGGTCCGCGGCGGCAGGTCCCCGCGAACTCCCCCGGCAGCACTGCGGCAGGCCCGCGACGCGTGGCGCCGCAGATGCATGCGCCGCGGTTGCGCGCCATGGCGGCGGCGAGATCATCCTAGAGACGGAAAGCGGCGAAACAGCGCCGCGAGCAGTAACGACCGAACCGCTGGTACCGGAAAAACCTACTACCGTGTCTGGAAGACCCGCATCGCACGAGGACGTCAGCTGCTTCTTGCCTGTCAGCCGCGATAACTTCAACCGACGCAGAAGCTTCGAAGAAACAACATTGTATCACCGGTGGCACGCAGAGGCCGGCGCACGCGTGGCGCCACTGCCGCCGACCGCGGTTGAGAAAGGCGGAAGCTTCGCGTCCAACGAATCGGACGGTCCGGGCGAGTCTAGCTGGGAAAAGGAGTTTCTGGATTGGACGGAGGAGTGCGCCGTTGGCGCCGCCGCCACGCCACGTTTAGAGACGGCAGAGGCGGCTCGAAGGGCGTCCGGCGTGGCGCCGCCGACGCCGCCGGCATTGGCGCAAACGTCGAAACTGACGGAGGACGTTCGACCGAAGTACGGCAATTTCTCTCTTCGATACCTGGGGGTAAGTCTTTGTAAGATTTTAATGCTCAGCTGTTCGTCATTTTGTTTATATCGTTTTCAACGGAAAAAAAACGAGAGTTCTGTTTGTATCCTCGACCGCGTTTTAAGTCGCCTCGAAGTTCGTTCTTACAACGCGGCGGCTTTTAGTTTGACGCATTATTTACTCACTGTATTCCATCTTTCGTCCTTCTACGCGGCAGGGAAGCAAAGCCGCGCACCGAGTGGAGCCGCATGAAGACGGGGAGAAGGCGCACGATATGATCTCCCCGCGAGATGACGGTCACTCTCGCGGAAGCGGAAAGCATTCCCGCGCAAGCGGCGGGCACTACAATCTTTTCTCGCGCAGCAGCAGCAGGGAAGACGCACATTCCCGCGGAAGTGGCGGAGACGACGCGCACTCCCGCGGAAGCGGCGGGGATGATGGGCATTCCCGCGCAAGCGGGGGGGATGATGCGCACTCCCGCACAAGCAGCGGGCACTACAACCTCTTCTCGCGCAGCAGCACGCGGAAAGAACGAGCCGTTGCCGCCGCAACAAGCGGCGCCAATGCCGTTGCGACAGCAGTAGCACCTGGGGAACCTTCGCAAGTGGCAAGACAGATGACGTCAGGATCAACTGCAACGTCATATTGCGGTTCGGACTCGTCTTTCGGGGATCGAACCGCCGGCATCGGATTTCCCTACCACGATCCATTTTCCGCCTCCCCCCACGCCCGCGCGTTTCCGCCGCGGCTTCCGCACCCACCGTCCCCCTCCAGCTCTCCGTTCCCCTCCGTAATAGGAGTAGCAACGGCGGCGGCAACACCGGCGACAGCGGCAGAGGCGGAAATTAATGCGATGAAAAAGCGACTGGGTGCGAAGATGCAGTTTTCCACGTGGGAGCAGCAGCAGAAGGAGCGGAAGCAGCAGCAAGACGCGGCGGCGAGTGCGGCGCAGCGCGCGCTGAAGCAAGCGCAGGAGGAGCTGCTGATCCCCAAGTACAACGCGCCGGGACACGCGGAGCCGCCGCACCCGACGCATCAGGCGCCGCCTCACCCGCCGTTCCAGGCGCCGCACCACGCGCCGCAACAGGCGCCGCTCCAGCAGCCCAGTCCGCCGAAAACCTCCGTGCCGGAGGCAAAACTGCTGGAGACGAAATTGCCGCCCGGAGTACCGATATTCGGCAGTAAAGTGGAGCACTCAGGCATTTCCAGCAACGGCGATCATGGCGGCATGCCTTGGGGCAGGGAAATTCGCAGGGGCTACGAGGAGTGCGGAAGCGTCGAGAGTGGTGCTGTTGGGTTTGGAGGCGGAGTGGCCCGGTCTGTGAGCCGAGACAGTGCTGATGGGGGGGGGGCGTGGAGGAGGGATGGCGGGAGGAGCAACACACCGCCGGTGGAGCATGGCATGTGGGGCAGGGAGCAAGGGAGGAGTGGCGGAGAGTGCGGTGGTGTGCGGTTGGGAGACGTGGGGAGGGGTGACAGGGAGTGCAGTGGGGCGTGGAGGAATAACTGGGAGTGCAACAGCATGGGGTGGGACCACGGGGAGTCATACAATGTGGGCAGCAACGCGAGCAGCGTTGATAACAGGGTTGCAAGTAGCAGCCATGGCCAATCTTCTTCTCACCATCATGCACGCGATTCGGCATATCGTACACACAACGCCCATCACTACTCTCCTCCTGTCAGCCACGTGTCACATGGCTATGCTGACTCAGCAGCCGGAGCAGCAGCAGCAGCCTTAAAACCGTCGCCACCTGGCAGCACGGTCGCATTATCCGGGGCATCAGGCCACGTGGCACCATCCCACGTGGCACCATCCAACGTGGCATCAGGCCACGTGGCATCTAGTGGAGGCTGCAGGGTGTTCTCTCCGGAGCAGCTCATCGCAGCAACCAATGGCTTCCACTCCTCCAACCTGCTCGGCGCTGGTGCCTTCGGCCAGGTACCAACCTTCAGTGAACCTTCGCTTCGCATAACCTTCTCTGAACCTTCTCTGACCCTTCAGTTTGCTAACCCCTTTCTCGCGCATGTGCCATCCTCAATCCCTCTGCTCTCTGCTCTCTGCTCTCTGCTCTCTGCTCTTTGCAGGTGTTCAAGGGCAACCTCTTGGGCTGTGACGTGGCAATAAAGAAACTCCAGGGGAACGGGTGGCAGGGCGAGGAGGAGAACGGCACAGAGGAGCACGCGTGCGCTCGCGCATGCGCCATCCTCAACATCCCTCTGCTCTCTCCTCTCTCCTCTCTCCTTTCTTCTCCCTTCTTCCTGCCTTTCCCCCACAGGTGTTCGGGGGCAACCTGCTGGGCTGAGACGTGGCGATCAAGAAGCTTCAGGGCAGCGGGTGGCAGGGCGAGGAGGAGTATGGCACAGAGGTGCATGTGCTGTCGCGCATGCGCCACCCTCGATCCCCCTCCGTTCTCTGCTCCCTGCTCTCCCCTCTCTCTCCCCACAGGTATTCAAGGGGAGTCTGTTAGGCTGCGAGGTGGCGATCAAGCGGTTGGAGGGCAACGGTTGGCAGGGAGAGGAGGAGTATGGCACAGAGGTGCACGTGCTGTCGCGCATGCGCCATCCTCACATAGTGCTGCTCATGGGCCACTGCCCCGCCATCAACTGCCTCGTCTACGAGTTCCTTCCCGGAGGGGACCTTTCACACCACCTCTGCTCTGCTGCTGCGTCCCACCCTGCGTCTTCTGGTGGTGGCGCTGGTGCTTCTACTGCTGGTGGTGCCGCGGCGACCAGCGCTTTGTCTTCACTCTGCCGCCCGCTCTCCTGGCCGGATCGGATCCGAATCTTATCCGAGATCTCCGGCGCGCTGCTCTACCTGCACCAGCACTCGCCCCCGATCGCCCACCGCGACTTAAAGCCGCAGAACATCCTCCTCGATACAAGCCTCCGCGCTAAGCTTGCTGACGTGGGCTTGGCTCGCCTTATCGACTGCGGAAACGGGGACGAATACGGAGAAGGAGGAGGGGGGAATGTGACGGCGAGAGTGAGGGGAACGGTGGGTTATATTGACCCGGAGGAGCTGGTTACGTGTGAGGTGTCGGTTTTAGGGGATGTGTATGCGTTGGGGGTGGTGATGCTGCAGATGCTGATGGGGGACCCAGTGGTGAAGCAGACTGTGAAGGTGATGCGAATGGCGCATGATGTGTTGGAGAAGGGGCAGTGGAGCAGCAATGAAACCAGCAGCAATCACACTGGCAGCAGCAGCAACACCAGCACAGACAGCAGCGGCAACAGCGCCAGTAACAGATGGACACGTCACCTGACCCCAAGCCTGCACAAGGCAGTGAATGTGATTATAGGGAGGCTGGACGACTCAGGAGGGAAGTGGGATCGTGGTGCGGCGGCTGAGGTGGCAGCGATCGCAATCTGCTGCACCAGTAGGAGGCGAGCGAGCCGACCGGACCTTGAAAGGGAGGTGCATGAGGTGCTGATGCAGCTGGCAGAGGAGAGTGCTGGGAGTGTGGAGAGGCTGCAAGATGCGGCCGACAGTCACCTGCTCTGTCCCCTGTCTAAGGTGAGCGAGGGTGTTAGTCATTTCTTGAAAGGGAGGTGCATGAGGTGCTGATGCAGCTGGCAGAGGAGAGTGCTGGGAGTGTGGAGAGGCTGCAAGATGCGGCCGACAGTCACCTGCTCTGTCCCCTGTCTAAGGTGAGCGAGGGTGTTAGTCATTTCTTGAAAGAGAGGTGCATGAGGTGCTGATGCAGCTGGCAGAGAAGAGTGCTGGGAGTGTGGAGAGGCAGCAAGATGCAGCTGACAGTCACCTGCTCTGTCCCCTGTCTAAGGTGTGTGGTTCATGCCAGTTTCTTTGGTCTGGGTGAGTGAATGAGTACCGTACTGTATACGATTTTTAAATGCTCAATACTATTCGCCGGTATGCGACACGTGTGTTGTTGTGCAGATGCGCATGAGGGAACCAGTGGTGGCAGCAGATGGGTACACCTACGAGAGGAAGGAGATAGAGAAATGGATGGAGACCAACAGCAGGTCTCCCATCACAGGAGAGCCGTTTGAGCATCCCATGCTCACTCCCAACAATGCGATGAATGTGATAATCCAATAATGTGGCTGTGTGCCTCTAGAAGGGCGTGGTTAATATAAAATTTCTGTGCGTGGATGCCACATAAACTGCCTCATTGAAACCAGTGTTACCATCCCTAATTCCTAGGAAGTTTTGTACAAAAAACACTTGAGAAATGGATGGAGACTGTTATGAGTTGTAAAAGAGAGTGCGCGGAATAACGAATAACGAAGATGTGACTCAATGAACTGACAATATAATGAAGGCACGCGCTAATTTAGTGGACCAACCTAGCTAGGCAGGAACTTCGGGAACACGAGGTTGGGTGCAGGTTGGGCAAAGGAAAGGCCGAAGGCGACGCGAGGTTGCTTCGGCAGCAATCGAAGTGGCCGAACGTGCACTTCCGAAAGTTGGGGTTGTACGCGGTTGAGTAAACCCCTGTAAGGAAAAGGGTTTTTCCTTACACTACCCCCCCCCCCCTTTAAGAAAGGTGGTCAATATCTGCAGCTCGCCTGCGGGCGAGGTAATCACCAAGAAGCGGAGAAGCTTCAAGCGAGGCGGATGGCACCCAAGTGTCGTCCTCACTGGTGTGGTCACTCCAGCGGATTAAAAAATCCACGTGGCGTCCAGAAGCGTCGAGCCGAACACGATGCGCCAAAATCTTGGACGGGTCAAGCGTCGATTCTGGGACAGGTCGGGCTGTCGGGGCGGCGTTCTGGTGCGCGATGTCCGTCGTGGCAGGCACGAACTTGCGAAGGAGGCTAACATGGAAGGCATCATGTATACGCCAATCGTCGGGTAGCAGCAGCTTCGCGGTGACAGGTGTCACCATCTTGATGATCTTGAAAGGCCCACAAAATCGTGGCCGTAGTTTCGATGGGCCGGGTAGGTGCAGGTTCTTCGTGTCAAGTAGCACTAGTTGCCCAGCTGCCAAGACGAGTTCCCGTCGTAGAAGGTCGGTGTATTTACGGGAAGTGGTATTCGCCTTGCGAATTGCGCCCGTAGCCTTTTCGCGAACTTCCTGAAGTTCCGTCACAAATGTTTGTGACCTCGGGACCGGGTTGTCGAGTGTAGTCGTTGTAGGCACCGTCGGGTCCATGCTGGACGGGGCGTTGTTGAACGCAAACTCCAGCATGGCGAGCGAGTTTTCCTAGCGAGTGGGGTCTGAGCAGTTTGTCCTGATCAGCTGCTCCATAGTCTGATTGGTGCGCTCGGTCTGGCCGTCCGTTTACGGGTGGTATGCCCATGAGAACTGTAGCTTCGTGCCGTACTGCGCTCACGTCTCCTTCCAGAATGTGGATGTGAACTTCGGGTCCCTGTCGCTGATGATCGCCGCGGGGATTCCGTGCAGTCGCACGACTGTTGAGATGAAGAGGCGCGCAGTTTCTTTGGCTGTGATTGTTGTACGACACGGTGCTAAGTGCGCCATCTTCGTGAGGCGATCGACGACGACGAGAACCGCGTCGTTGCCGGACGGCCCAGCTGGCAGCCCCGTGACGAAGTCCATCGTCACTTGTTGCCACGGTCGTTCGGGTGGCTCAAGGGGTTGCAGCAGTCCAGCTGGCCGCTGACGTGTCGATTTCATGGCTTAGCACACCCTGCATGAGGACACATATCGCTGCACGTCGTTAGCAGAATCAGGCCAATAATATTGACGGTGCAACAGCTTCTGGGTTTTATCTGAACGAATGAGAGGCTAGAATCATGGACCTCCTGAAAGAGAGTTCACGCAGCAGTTGGTAAGCGGGAACCCAAATCCGGTCAGTTCCGGCCTTCAGGTAATTGTTCCCCTTCTGCGTCGTCGCCTGCCGGTGATTCCCAGTCGTGAAGAACGGGTCCGTAGTGTAGCCGTGAGTAAATAGTCCCGTAAGTAGCGGGTTCGAATGGGTGATGAGCACTGCAGCGGATTGAACTGTCGGTCGAGTAAGGGCATCGGTGATGTTATTCGCCCCTTTCTTGTACGTGATGCGGTAGGTGAAATGACTCTCCATGTAGTCTAGCCACCGAATTCGTCGCGGGTTGAGGTTGGGCTGAGCTCGCAGGTATCGTAGGGACTTGTGGTCCGTGCGAACAGTGACGTCGGCGCCTACAAGTAGCAACGCCATAGTTTGAACGCGTGTATTATGGCGAGCATCTCCTTGTCGTGAATCGGGTAGTTGCGCTCACCTGCTTGCAGTTTGCGTGACTCGTAGGCGATCGGCTGCAACCCATTCCCGAAATCCTGGAAGACTACAGCTCCGATGGCGAAATCTGAGGAGTCGGTGACGACTTCGAACGGCTTCGATGGGTCGGCGATGCGCAAAACCAGAGGGGAAACGAGAAAATTCTTCAACTCCTGAAAAGCCGCCTCGGCTTCCCCCCCCCACACGAAATTCCTGTCCTTGTGCAGCAGGTCAGTCAGCGGGCCGGTTATCCCCGCCATATTCGGGATAAACCGCCTGGCGTAATTCACGAAGCCCAGAAAACTCTTAACTTCCGTGATGTTAGTCGAGGACTTCCACTCCTGAATAGTCTTGATTTAAGCCGGGTCGATTTTGATGCCGTCGCGTGAGATGACGTGCCCCAAAAACTCCAACTCCTGCTTAAAGAACTCGCACTTAGAGCCCTTGGTGATGAGGCGGCTCTCATGCAACCGTTTAAACACTGCGTCGAGGTCGCAGAGGTGTTGTTCCCTATGAAAATGAGAACGAGAATGGAATGACTAAGTGAAAGTTGGGTACAAATACAAACCCTAGAAAGCTGTACCCCATATGTGCTACCCCACTATAGCCTACAATAGCTATGTCATATATATCTGACACACCCCCATAGGCAAAGTGAGGGAGAACAAGGGGTCACAAGACCAGTCAAGCAAAGCAAAGCAAAGCAAGCTCAGGGTGGCTCACAAAGTCACCACACAGTCCGAGCAAAGGGTCAAGGCCACAAGGCCAGTACACATGCAGGAGTGCACATATATATAACACTAAACAAGCAAGAGCAGGTATATATATATATATATATATATGCAAGAGTACAAGTAAGATCAAGAGGTGACCAAGTGAGGTAAGACAGGTACAAGTCCCAGCTGAGTGCAGAAGCGCTCATGATCACAAGGCGGAAATGCCTTGGTGAAAACATCAGCAGTGTTGGCCTCAGAGGCCACGTACGCAAGTCGCAACTGACCACGCTGCTGGAGCTCACGAGCAAGAAAGTAGCGGAGAGCAATGTGCTTCGTTCTGTGCTCCAGGCGCTGCTCTCGACACAAGGCCAGCATGGCCTTGTTGTCTACGTACAGCACTGGAGGAGAACGAGGCGGCTCTCCAAGGTCAGTCAGCAGGTAGGTGAGCCAGCGAAGCTCCTGAGCAGCCATGGCCCCGGCGTAGATCTCAGCCTCACAACTGGAGCCGAGAACAGAAGACGAGCGAGCAGCCCGCCACGAAACAGAGCCGGAACCAAGACTGAAGGTGTAACCCTGTGACGACCGCTGAGTAGCCTGGTCGTCAGCCCAAGAAGCGTCCGCGTGGCCAGTGAGGACCACTGGACTCCGCCCTCCAAGCACTAGCCCCATGCCCGACGTACTGCACAACTAGCGCAACACCCTCTTCGCTGCAGCCATGTGCTCTGATCGGCGAGGAGTACGTGAAGTCGAAGCGCTGAAGGACCTGCTGCACCATGTGTGACTGAATCAAGGTAATGGTGCGGCGTGCTCTGTCCCGAGTGATCTGCAAGCCAAGGTAGCTGCGCAGTTCACCCAGGTCTGTGCACGTGTGTCTCTTCTGCAGCTCGGACTTCACGTAGGCGAGTCCAGCAGTGTCCGCTGTGGCAAAGACCAAGTCGTCGACGTACACGAGGATGTAGAATGGCGGCACAGAAGTGTCGGTGCGCAAAAACAACGACGGGTCAGCAGTAGAGGGAGCAAACCCAAGAGCCGCAAGCGTGGTCCTCAGTGTGTCGTGCCACTCACGCGGTGCCTGGCGGAGACCGTAGACTGGCCGTCGGAGGCTCCACTGGGTGCCAGGAGGGAAAGTCCCAGTGAAGCCAGGTGGACGGCGCAGCCAGATCTCCTCGCGCGGGCTACCCTGCAAGAAAGCAGTGCTGAAGTCAAGAGAGTGGAGCTCGTAGTCGCGCTGAGCGGCTATGTGCAGCAGCACCCGAAGAGTGGTCATCTTCGGGGTGGGAGAGAAGGTTTGAAAGTAGTCAACTCCCTGCCGCTGACTGAAGCCACGAGCGACGTACCGCGCCTTGAAGACAGGTGGAGAGCCCGGCGGCCGCTTCACCCTGAAAATCCACATGCCACTGACGATGTTCGCCCCAGGAGGGGGAACCGCGTCAACGTAGGTGCCTGTGGACTTCCAGGAAGCCATCTCTGCATCCATAGCTGCCTGCCACTGAGAGGAGTAGGGACCCTCTACGGCCTCCGCGTAAGAGCGCGGAGTCGGGATGTCTTGTGCATCCGGGTCTCCCTCAGGGGCAAGTAGTACGGACGCGAGATGAGGTGAAGCAGCAGCCAGACACTGAAACTCCTCCTGCCTGTCCTCAAGGACGTCCGTGCCAAGAGCACACTCACCCCCGACGGACAGAGGACAGACAGACGCAGACCCAGCAACAAGACTAGCAGCGTAGTCTAGACGACAGCGAGCAGCAAAGTCAACGAGCTCAGTAACAAGCGCAGACGCAGCAGTGGACTCAAAAGAGGGGTCGGTGACGACAGTAGCAAGGAGACGCGTGACAGTAGGACTGGCAGCACGAAGAGAGTCCGACTCTGGGTCGGCAAGTGCAGGAAGAGAGGACTCAGGAAGAGAAGGCAAAGGGGCACGCAGAGGAGCAGTGGACGGACGCAGAGACATCCGGTGCGTGCCAGGGACAGGAGGAGGACGCTGACGCGAACCGCGACCACTAGCGCGAGAAGTACGAACAGGCGACGCGGGACGAGACGCAGGCTCACGACGCTCAGCAGGACCTCCAGTAGGACCAGTGTAAGGAGAGGGAGCAGGAAGTGGAGAGGCGGGCTCGAACTGGGACTGCGACTGGACAGGCGGTGGACACTCGACTGGAGGAGAAAG